GTCGTTGTTGTTGTTGTTGTCGTTGTTGTTGTTGTCGTTGTTGTTGTTGTCGTTGTTGTTGTTGTCGTTGTTGTTGTTGCTGTTGTTGTTGCTGTTGTTGTTGCTGTTGTTGTTGCTGTTATTATTGCTGTTGTTACTGTTGTTGTTCGTTTTCTCCTTTCTGCGCAATCATTGTTCTTCGTCTCTTTACTTCACACATTCATCATCGAGTAATGTGTCTCACTGTTGTCGTTTTTTTTTTTTATTAAAGATTTAATTATCATAGTGCTAAATTCTTTTAAATTTCCTTTTAGAATCTATCTGAAGGCTGGTAACCATAGAAGTTGGTCGGATCGTCCGAAGGTATGGTGGGTATAGTTGAGAAGCAGCATGCTGTTAGTGGATTTTTTCGACGTAAACAATTTGGTCAAAATGTACATAACTCATGGGAATTCCCCTTTCTTCATCTTCCCAACAGAAATATCTATCAGAAGGATGTCAAAGGTCATTACGGTTGTGTAAATGCTATCGAAGCATCAACGGACGAAAATTTTTTAGCTAGCGGTAAGTCACCTGTTTTTATTCTTGTCTATTTTTCTCTTTCACTATTATTTATAAAAAAAAAAGGCTTCAATAATTAAGAGACAAAAGACACGACTATTATGAGCTTCTCGTGTAACACATATATTCTAAGCCGTTTAATGATATTTTCTTGCGATATTTTTTATGACATATTATTTATAGCAAAACAGTTTCAGGTAATCTTTTTTAAAAGGTGCAATTCTTTCTAAGTTACTTTCCCGTCTTTTATCTTGTTACAGAGAAATTGGTTCGCATTAGGGAAAAATGGTAAAGTTGCTGGGCTTACAACTCTTTCAGTTAAAATTCTAAAATAAACATCATTATAGGTGGCGATGATCGACGAGTGTTAATGTGGAAACTTAACGATGTGCAAGTGATGGAAAGCCCGAAGCCTGTAGCTGTTATGAGACAAATGCATTATTCTAACATATTTTCTGTTGGGTTTTCCAACAAGTTTGTTTTTTACATTTTTCTTCTTTCTTTTTCGAATTGCAATTTTTTTTCAGAAACAAATTTCTGGATTACAGCTTAAAGATTTTATAGAAGCGGAACGTTTGTAGAAAGTGAATCTACTAGTACGTAAGATGGGTTATTAATTAGAGGAAAAATATCGTCAAATATTTACGAGATCTACAACTTAGCATAATTAAGCAGGATTTATCAATGGGATGAGATCAAAAGATAGTTTTGGTGCCTTTATAGCGTGCCTTTTCTGTTTAATGCCTTATGATTGTTTCTGATACTACTCTGCATCTCATAATAAAGTTGTCTTGTATGAGTTGTATGTGATGTGAACATTATTCACGATATTTTTCAGATGTGAAAGACTTTATTCAGCTGGGAATGATTCGTTTTTGTACGCTCATGATATTGCTACAACCAGTGTATTACATCGTTTTAGAGCTGATGAGCCTATTTATAATGTGGCTGTAAATGTAAGATTATATTATTAAAATGGACTAGGTTTGCTCAAATATAGATAACAACGAACTACGACATCCAAAAGAATGACTTTATCTTATCTTAGATATGATATTTCACAAACTAAATCATTAGGATATATAGATCTTCAGTATATTATTCGTGATGTTTTGAACTGTTGTTGGAGTGTTCTGCACATTCGAGTAGACATAAATCGGTTGATCATTTGGCTCTTTTTTAGCGGTAGTCTGTAACATCGGTATGTGACGAAACTCTACATTACAATCAAATTTCCCAAACATCACATCAACAGTATGTTCAAACTACTGTAACATGTTTTTTTCTAGCCTAAAGATGATTCAGTGATAATGTCTGCCTCAGAGGATGGAAAAGTTCGTTTGTATGATTTGCGAGGAGGTGAAGAAACGCTTGCGGTTGAAAGCTCAGGTTATTTAGTTGTCGGTCTCTTAGAGATTTCATTTAACCAAAATTGGATTGGAATAGCTCTAATAGTAATTAAACTTTCAGGAACGATGTATTGTGCCCAGTTCAATCCCCGACAAGTGCACATCATATCGGTCTGTAATGGGCGTGATGGCTTGTCACTGCATGACATCCGTAAACTTGACAGGTTCGGAACCCTTCCTCATTTTTTCTTTTTTTTTGAATGAAATGGTATTGTTAAACAAAAGTAATTACAGCGCCCTTACTAGGAAGCGTATAAAGTAACTGGAAGAAATCTTATGATAAGGCAGACATACTGTCAGATATTCTTAATAAAGGGGAAACATGTTGGAGAAATACTTTTTTGGAGAAAAGGTCGTCGTAAATTCCACTGCAATTTATAGTTGTTTTAAATGGGATCTTATTGATGGCAAATGCACCGTATTGTTTATTCATCTAAAAGTACTCAAATGTTTAAATTTAATGACTTTCAAAATTTCAGCCCTTGTTTCCAGTTTGATCAGTTAACTAGAGCACGTGTAAATTTGAATATTAGTTCTGTTATGTATGGTCAGTGGAGTGACGATGGGGAAGCTATTTTTGCCACGCGTAGCCGTACTTCACCCATATTGTATGACGTATGTTTTATTAAAATATCATTGTTTGCAGTGAAAATTTTTGTATCTGTGTTGGACTGTGGATTGCTATCCGATTTTTCGTGTCACTTAGTTAATTTATTCAGGGAAGATACTTATATAGCCATCACTCAACTTAGAAATAATCCAAAAACAGAGTTACAATGATCTTATTATTAGACTACTACCAGCTTTTTTCTTTTGAATGACTTGAGCATATATTTGTGATTTTACACATTAAAGTAAGGTCTCAGCTATAAGTGAAATTAAATTTGAAAGGATGTCTTTTAATATTAGTTGTTATTAATTATTGTTGGCTAACAAGCTTAGTCCTTTTTGAGGAGATTTGGTTGAATAGTGGAGTATTTTTTTTTACCTCTTTAATAGGATTCTTTCTCAGCCAATTTAGTTTACACTTTATGTAATTCCCGGTTAAACATATTCAAGTTAAATGGTGGCGGCAGTGTGGAATTCAACGATCAGAATTACCTAAATTCCTGCACAGTTAAATCATGTTCATTTATAAGTCGCGATCTAGTAATGACTGGTTCTGACGATTGGAATATATATATTTGGAAAGTGCCTGAGGACCGAGAAACTGTTGGTAAAAAGTTTTTTCTTCAGGAATTAGTTAAATATGGCATAGTTCTATACGTATAATGATTTGGTGTAAAAAGAATTTACTTCTAGTTTTGATCGAAGACATATTCTTTATTACGTGACTATTTGTGTTGAAGTAATTTATGCATTTTGCTAATATTTTTTTTAGGACAAACCGTGGATAAGGCCTATAGGGTTTTAGAAGGTCATCGGTCGATTGTCAATCATGCACGTTACAGTTCTTTGAACAGGCTTTTGTTCTCATCGGGAGTGGAAAAGATTATCAAAGTAATCACTAGAATTTCTGTTTCAAATTGCAATTATTCGACTCTTGTAGAATTTATTCTAAGTTTTGCCAACATAGTATATTTTTGATCACAATTTGATACCATTCTGTGAAAGCATATGCATTCACGCCATTTACTAAGTTTTGTAGTATGCAATCAGGTAGTTGCAATGGCACAAACTTTTGCTATTCGAGATGATATATACTTTTGTTCAGTTATGGAGCGCATGGGATTTGAATGGCTTCTATTTGGAGCCGAGAAGACGAAGCATAATACCAAGTACGGATTATTCTGATCCAGGGAATGGTGACAGTGTCGATGAGGATATCAATATGCTTGCATTTTTCGATCTCCTCACTACTGTTCGTGGAAAGTTTTCCTTACTATGCCAGATATAAACAGAAAAAAAATCTCAAAGTTTTGCTTTTGAAATTGAATTTTATTTTGGAACCAATTGCTTCGTGGTCAAAATATGACCAGGATTCTGGTTTCTTTATTGAATTAAAGATTATATTACGTCGTAAAGAATAAAAAAAAAGAAATTAAATTATAATACGCTGTAAAGAATAAAGGCGAAGGTTTGGGTTTATTCTTTCAAACTGAATAAATGTTGCTTTTACCGTCTAAGCTCCTCAGTTTCTATTTAAGGATAAAATGCCTGAATTGATAAAACTTATAGATTGTACTTCCAGAGTGGCATTGATGAAGAAGGTCCAGAGGATGGTTTTCACGATCTATTGGAAAATGATGCGAGCAATGATCGAATGATATTAGCAGCGAGATTAATGCAAAATGCTCAGGTACGCTTTGCACTTTTCTGTTGTTTTTCTGTTTTCCGTTTTAATAACTTAAAAAATGATTCATAACACTCAGCTGTTGCTTCAGTGAGGAATCGCATAGCCATAAGTTAATAAAAGGACTTGATTATACCGTTCGACACGATCTGGATGTTTTTGCGGGTTTTTTTCTCTTATTTTTCCCTATACAAACTTTTAACTATATTTGAAATAAAATTTTAATAAAATATTTTCGAAATTGTCACTTCTTTTTTTTCATTTGAGAATCATGATGACGATGAGGATGGGAGTGGTCAGGACGATGATAATGGAAGTGGTGATGCAGGATTACAGCACCTAGAAGATAGATTAATTCTAGCGCGCCTCAGGAGAAGGGCTGAGGTCAGCTTCTTTGCTATGTTCAAACGATTTCTAGCTGTTTATTTAATTGACATACAAATTATCCTTTTGAAAAATGCGCAAGTGGTAATGCAGGGTTACAGCATCTAGAAGATTTCTTTTTTCCTGAAGAAGCGAAAAAGCACAAAAGTTTTTGAGACTAATCCAAACTCTCTAATGTTTAGAAGTTGAAAGAAGACAGAAAATGGCTCGCAACTGCTAAGCCCAAAACTTCTTCTCTAATCCACCATGTTACTAAGTTACTGATGAAAGGAAATTAGAAGCGCTCTTTAATCGAGCGGGAAATGGATGGAGAGTTGGTATATGTAATGTCTTGAATATTTAAGCTACTCCACTTTTTGAGTTTGATAACCTCATATAATAGAGCCAACATCTAAATTATTTACATATGATTAAATCTCAGGGAACGGTATATGTAGTATCGTCTCCAGAAATGTCGGAACCGGAATTGTTGCCGGAGGAAGGGTCATCCGAAAATGACAGTTCTCAACGGATTACCAATGGTAGGTTTAAATTAGCATTCGTTTGTGTTTTTTGACGGTTAGAAATTTAAGTAATTGATATATTAGTTGGGCATTTTTAGTCCTGATATTGTTATCTTCTTTCAAAATGCAACACTCATATATTAGCGTCATTGCTTTTGTTTTCTTCCAAAATCCAGCGATGCTAAGTTGCAAGCAATATGGTAAAGCTGAAACAGAACATTTTTTTTGAAAAATCTTAGGTAGGCGCCCAGAAGTGGGTGCTACTTCTTATTCGACTAAAATTAAAGCTGTTTTTGCTACAGATTGCTCTAATCGTAGGGTTACTGGAATAGACACTGACGACCATTTGTCACTTCCAATCTACAGTTCTCTTTTTTTTCAGCCGATACGTAATAGGATCAGCATTTCCTGGAACGTGTTGCCTCATTATTAGGTATTTTAATTATTTTTTCAAAATAGTGTTTTAAATTACATTTTTGTTACATTGTTTCACTTTTTCATAGCCATTCTACTGTTTTCTGCACATTACAATACCTAAATTCTTGTACCACGTGTAAATTGCTCTTCATTATTATATTCATGGATTGCATTTCTTCCTTTATTT